ACTCGCCTCTTCCCAAGTCCCGCATCCGTGACCACCACCTCCCACTGGCTGCTTCCAGACTCCGAGTGCTCTCCTTTCTAAACCTGCAGTCAAAACTCATCAGCAGCTGTCAATGTCAGATCTAATTAAGCATGATGTTTCATGAGGAAGCTGCCACTAGAATCAAAACAAGTAAATTTTATTAGAAACACAAAGGCACAATCAGGTTATGCCAATCTCCCTGCCTCGGGCTCCTGGCGGGCTGCCAGCGTGGTCCCTGATTTTAGAGTTGCGCTGTTCCTTAAGGTAAAGGCAGTATTTGTTGAGGAAAGGCACTGTTCTGGTGCTGCTGTTACTGCCCTGCTCTAGTTCCAAAGCAGGCAGCTGAGGTTGCCTTTCCTGCTTTCACCGGTGTTTAACTCTTCCCGGTGCTGGTGATGAGTAGTCTTCGTCCGCAGCCTCGTACTGAGGAACCTTAGGGGACCGTCGGTGATGGGCTGGCCGTGCGGGGTCTGCGGCTGGATCCGCACACAACCCCCACAGTGCTCAGGCTGACTCCGGAGCATCAGTCTGGTGATGTTACAGTCTCAGTGTTGGACCTTACAGTGAATGGGACATTTTGTTTGGAAAAACCGTCTTCGCTGAGTGAGCTAGAGGGCACTTCAGCGGATGTTTCCCCTTCTGCTGTGGAATGCTGTCAGCACTGCAGTGACACGGTCTTTTAGGCTGGCTTCTTCAAGGAGGAAACTGGAGAGAGACCTGTTCAAACTGCCTTGAATGTCTAGAGCGTTTTCTTCTCAAACTCTCAGTCAAAAAACCCCCCACAAAAGAACAAACCACCAAGCTCTTCGGGAAACAGCTGAAAGCCTTCTGTAAAGGCACTTTGCTGGGGATGGGAGGAGATAAGTAAAATATTAAATAATTAGAAAATAATCATCTCTAGTTCTACCTCATGTGTTTTCCTCCCCTTTTTTCCCTCCCACATGCTGCTAATTTTCATCTTTTCTTCCTGCACATCAAGACGTCAGAGGCTGCTTACAGAGAAAGTTGTTTTTCCTGAGTTGTCTATATGCTTTATTAATGCAGCAAAGATAACAAGAAAAGAGGGGGGAGGAGGAGGAGGTGGAGGTAGGGGGACAAAAGGACGAGCTCTTTCATGGTCTCACTCCTACCAAAGGGTGACCATTTTGTTCACTGTTGCATTTGCCAGTTGCCATGGCATCCCCCTCTCACTCTATCCTGGAGGTGTATTCTTGATATAATTAACAGCTCTCCTCCTCCTGTCTCCTGCAGAAAGCAATCATTAAGTGAACATGAAGGAAAGAAAAGTCACTTTCTGTCTTTTTACTTAGTCTGTCAGTGGTTTTTGTCCTACTACCTTCTCCCGCTTGGCCCAGTAGCGATGTGTTTGTGTATGGCAGCGTTGCTGCAGTATGGCTGCCTGCGTGGAGCAGGACCTTGAGGCTCGGCAAGCATCTGTGTAAACAGAGGATTTCCTTAGGCTAGAGTGCAGTTTGGTCGTATGTATGTAAACCTTCATTATTTCCTGTGTATAAAACTGTAATCTTAGGAAATACAAGGTTCTTCAGAATCTGGATCATGGATATTGCTGCTAGCTCTAATGTACCTTCAAGAAGACTTTGAAAGGAAATTTCTTTCAAATATTGCTGCAGAGAGTTGGATAGAAAAAAAAATATGAATGGGCATGGTTTAATTAAAGCACAGTATTGAACAGAAGTCAGAGGGGCAGCACTGTGGAATGTGGCCGGCACATCGTTCGGGCAGCGTGTGTGAGTTTCCAAGCTTTGTGGTGATGTGCTGGTGTCCTAAAAGGGTGCACCTCCTCTTGTCGGTGGGTGGGGAGCACTTGGGTGCTGAACTCAGACATGGGAGTAACTTTAAAAACCAACAGGAAAACATTACGTAACAGTTGCAGTGCCAGCATCTTCCATTAGGAAACTCCTGTTGGGAAAACCGTTGCTTTCCCTTTCTGTGGAATGGTTGAGGGTTACTTTTTCCCACAGTCCCAGAGCAGTGAGCAGTTCCACAACCAATACCAGTAAGGTTCCTGCAGGATTTCTTTGTTTTTTCACAATGTGTTTTGAAAACAACAATAAATAAGTTTAAAAATCATTAAAATCATTTAAAAATCATTCTATGATTCTATGATTCTATAAAAATAAACTCTTGGTCAGGTTGTCTGGCGTACGACTTCACAGATAGTCTGTGAAGTTAAATTTTCTCATATTTTATCTAAATGCTCAATCTTCTTTTGCTCCTGCTGTTACTTAAGTGCCTCGCTGGGAAACTACAGGGAGCTGTTTTTTTTCTACTAGCATCTGTGAAAAAATTCTGCACTTTTGATGCTGCTTTTCATGGTGGAAGGCTGTCTTTTCTGCTTTTTCTTTATTCTTTTACGTCAGCTTTTAACATGGGAAGGGTTAGTCCATAGCCTTCGTGAAGCTGAATGGTCCCTTTGAGGAGTATGCTGATAAGGATTTTAAAGAAGAGCAAATAAAACAGTGGATATTTATGGAGGCAACTGGCTGTTTTTCTCACTGTCTGTGACATGTCATTTGGATATTAATAAGCCTTAAATACCCACTTTGATAGCATAGTAGTCAAGACAAACGTAGCACTGCACACTCTCAGTGCTTCATTTTGTTTTTAAAAGTCCCCAAGGAAGTCTGATCTTGAGTAGATGAGCCTGCAGTTACAATGAAAGATATGAAGAAGGCAGATAAATGAGTTTTCATCTTATTTCAGCTATATGCACTTGTTCTATGAGTAGCATCCTCACCAATTTCCTCTTGGTGACTAAAGCCACTTTGTAATAAAGCTGCCGTGTTTCGCAGGCAGCTCAGCACGACGAGGTGGATGGGAGCGGGGGAAGGAGATTTCTGTAGTTCTGACTTTGTGCCACAACAAAGTAAAAACTAAAGAAAAATCTCCTAATGAGAAACCACATGAAACACTGCAGAAGGAGTGTCACTGCTTCTCAGTTTCCTACTGTGTTTTGTGGAAATTAGTCCGTGTCGTGGCTGGTACAGCAGCAGAAATTGATGAACGTAAAGTGCTTCTGGCAAACCCATGGCTTCCCGTCATGACCTTTTCGGGGGTTATTTCTCAAATGCCGTGTTACAAAGTAGTGAGGTTGTGGAATCTCCGTGCTGGGCGATGTTCGGAGCTGTGCTGGACGTGGCCTCTTGGTGAGCTGGTCTGTCTTTGAAGGCAGCTCTGCTTTGAGCAGAAGTTGAACTGGAACCTCCAGAGGTGCATTAGTCCGTGGCGTTGTGCTCCTTCTCTCACTAGTCACTTTTCTCCTGAGTACCATCCAAATATTGCTGAGTTGCTTTCCAAGTGTCCTCTTTCCATCTATGAAAGTGGCTGTGCATTTTTACAGGGCAGGTATTTTTAACAAATACGTGCCCAGCTAATAGTACCTTCATGTATTTCTGCTGAAAAAAGTTTGGATACAATACAAGCACAGAAATTTCAGGTTCTACACAATGTATTATGTAAGATAATGAAGTGCATGGGTGTGAAGGATTTTCCCTCTAAATCACAGCTGAAAATGTTTCCTCTAGTGATCTCACTGCTGGCATAAGGCTTTTGTCTGAAGTTTAATTTCCCTCAAGTTTGTGTGATCCCATTTGTGCATCAAGACCTTTAGTTTTGGAACCGATGCTTTAAACATCAGACTCTCGCTGCTTTCAGAAACAGAATAGACCTTTTTGATCCTTTATGGTAGCTGTGAACATAGCTGCTCTATTTTGGATCATGTGTGCACATGGAATCTGGCAGGTTTTAATTGTATGCTTTTTAGAGACTGATTAATCAAGAAACTTTAAAATTCCACCAGTTGGGTTTTTTTAAATGTACTTGTGTACTTTCCACCTTTTGAATTTTATATATGGAATTCCTTCATCTGAAACCTACTCTTTTCTCTGAAATTCTGCTGACTTTTCTGGCACTGTAATAAGTCTTTGATTATCTAGGGCGTTAGGGCCCGATTTGATTTTACGTTTGACAGCAGAACTCTTTATTTCTGTTTCAGACGCTCATACTTTTTATCACCATGGTTAAAATGAATTTTTCTTCATGGTAGAGATATCAGAGGTAGAGGTATGAGATGGACAATTAAACAGTTGAGGATTCCATTCAGCCGTATCTTTTACGGTCCAGTAAGTCTCCATTAAATGAAGACTACAAAGAGCATGAAATAAATGCATTCTGTGTCCTCACAGGCAAGAATACTTTGTGATTGCTGATTAAAATTATAGAGAAGATACTACCTTTATGGGTCTTTTGTTCCTTTCTTTGGTGAATTTATGTCACCCTTCTACCTTCTGTCTGTATAATTAATGACACTGCATTAAATTCTTAGCTCTGACTTTGGAGAAGAGCGTAGCTCTGAGTGCTACTGTTAGTTCTGCATAGGCAACTGATCTTCCAAAGCATTGTTCCAAGTTGGACACCAGTGCAGTTCTGCAGTTACTGCAAATTTATGATTTGGGGATTAGTCTGATCACTTATTTTGTAAGCAAGTACATTTCTCTTCTTGCTCCATTTCTTCTCACGTCATTCACTAAGAATAATTTCTTCTAATAATTTGCAAATTCTATTAAAGCACTGCAGATCTGTTTGTTCGGGCCAAGGGTTTCTCAACGTATTTTTAAATTAAAGAATTGTGTCTGTTCACGAGAGTTTGTAATTCATGCTTTGTAGTGGAGTTCAGGGAAGTGCATTATGTTGTGAGGGATTTGTTAAGGCATTGTAAATGTGAATATGAATAAATGTTCAGGTGTTAGTTTGATAAACAGACTGCAAAGAACAGGAAAATAATCTGTAAGAGAGAAAGATTTCTTCATATAGTGATTGATTTTTGTATTTGCTTTAGAGAATTTTCTGTCTACAAGAAGTTGTGCTGCTTGCAGTTGTCTCTGAAGCAGGTAGCATATGCAGAATCACTGACACGTATTTTCTCACTGTGTCTGCCTGCCCTTTTTTGTTTTATGTAGTCCACAGGAGAAACACCCACAACCCCAAAGCATACAAAGGACAACAGAGAGAGCTTCTTCCCAGTGACACCAGCCACACTGCATCCTACCCCAGTGAATCCAGACACTGTATCACCTGAAAATCTCCTGAGACTGAACGATCTGCACTCCAAATCCAAACAAGCCTCTTCCTCTTCATCCTCCTCCTCCTCAGCATCTTCAGTACCTCCATCCCAGGAGTCACACAGGGACACTGACCATCTCCGGAGTCAAAATGCAGAGACTGCTCCCAGCATGAGTGATCTCGCACGTGGTAAGTCTCAGGGAGACGGAATGGTTTGGCAAGGCCATGTGGTGAGGCAGTGCCTGAGTTCTGATTCTCACCCATTTTCTGATCACTAGGCCACATTCAAAAGGCTACAGAAACCGAGATTTTGTCTTGGTCCTGACTTGGGCACATCTACATAATAAACATGTATTTTAATTACTAGAATAGAAGAGACAGAAGAGTTACACTGTCTATGTAACTTGCACACAAAATCATGGAATAGCAGCCTAAAACATAGTCATGTTTTAAATAGAGAATTTAAGTCTATAATAGCATGAAGATGTTTATTTTATTTTCTTCAGAGAAATAAGGATCTAGTTCTTCAAAATACCTTGAATCTTTTAAAAAGTTAGAAGCAATTGCTACTGAAATAAACTGTTGGACAGCCTACATCTGGCTTACAAGTGCCTGGTTAACAAAATTAGATGCATAGGTATCGCTGTCCTCTGTGTGTGTGTGGAGATACCTAACACTGAAAATTCCAAGCTTCTACATGGTTCATAAAATTAGTGTATCATCACTATTGCCTTTTACATTTGAGAAAAGCAGCATCTGGCAGAACTGGAATGTTGGGAATATATTATTTATAGCACTAGCTTGGTGGTGTGCAAGGTCAGAGTACAGAAAAGGGTTGAAGAAACAGAATAGAAGTTGTTTATTGTACAGCACAACCGTGTGATTTGTTTAGGACTGTGTTATGTACTTGGTTGTATACAGTATGTCTGGATGAAGGAAGAATTAAATGAGAATGCTGGCTTTCCCTTTGCTGCTGTCATGGCAGGCTGGCTTGTTAGCAGTAGTCAGAATCACGGTGCAAGGCAGTACTGATCCACTTTGGGGAATGAAGTAAGTTTAGACCCAATTTCAGTCTCGTCATGGGTGCCCAAAAGAGGTGGTTGTGCGTCTTTGTGGGACACTGTGCGTGCTGAGGTGGCAGAGCACCTGCCATAGCCTGTACTTTCTTGCAACCTTAGCAGGAACACTGTCTGAAAAAGCATCTGCTGCTGCTTTTGCTCACTCCATCTGTTCACCAGCTTGGGCCTCACAAAATGCCACAGACAGATCCGTAGGAGCCCAGATAAAGTTATGAATGAGCCATATACATACAGGTATTGTGAAAAGCGACAGATGAGGATAGAGTGGAAATAGTGCCCAGACTTGCGAGACTGAATGGTACATAATACTAATTAATAGCGAGTAGGTTCTGATCTAGTCCGCCTGCTTTGTTAATCTGGTATTGTGACCTGCTGAAATTTTGATCTGTATACTTCTGGTATTGCACTTCTTTGCATATGTAATCAGCCCTGGCATCTGAGTGCACATATTCTTCTGAATCTGTCAGCGCCAAAGAGCAAATTAGGGAGAAGTCGTTTTTCCTAATTTGCTACAGGACAAAATTGAACTATAACATCCAATATTAGCAGTTGCATTATAATCATCTAATTTTGCTTCTTCACAAATCCAGGGAGAGATTGTCTTGGGAGGGGAAGAAAGGAAAGGGAAATAGTAAGGAAGAAATGGCTAAGTCAGTGTGTAAGCCACATTTCTTTATGTCCTTTTGAAGCTAAAGAATGGTGTCTTTAGAGATGCTCAATGCCAGGCTGGATGAGGCTTTGGGCAACCTGGTCTAGTGGAAGGTGTCCCTGCTCATGGCAGGGGGGTTGGAACTGGGTGATCTTTAAGGTCCCTTCCAACCCAAACCATTCTCTGATTCTGTGATCTTGGCAGGTTTGTTCAACAGGGAGTAATTCAGGTTTATGCCTAGACAACAGGGGAGGAAAAGAAAAGAATCCTATGTGAAGTTTCTGTACACTTACTAAGGAGACCGTAGGAACGACAATGCAGATAAGAACTTACGCATTCTTTTGGTTTTCAAACAGAACTCACAAGCATTTCTGACATGCTTTCCTCTCTGCAGTTTCCCAGGCCACATCGCAGTGATTGGACCATTTATTTTAATCTTTTGAATTCCTAGGCTTTGTTAGGGTTGTAAAGTTACATATTGTTCTTTCTTCTTTCATGCTTTCTGTACATCATCTTGCTTGAGGGAGATGGAAGGGTTAGCTGCTGGAATTACACCCCTGAAACTGTCTGAAGATCAAGAGGCTCTCTCTGCAGAGCTCTCATTCCAGGGCTGAATGCATGCGTTGTATCTGGCTTTCTGGCTCTCAGACCTACCTGACAGGTCATTTCTCTAGCTGAGAGAGACACCAATTACTGCTGTGTCCTTTATTTTTCTTGTCTTTTCATTTCTCCTACCTCTGCGTCCACCCCTTCTAAAAAAACCTATTTATAATTCCGCTATAACCCTTTTTCATCTGCCTTCCATTAGCTCTGTTTCTGTAAAAACTCCTCCCATTTTTGGTGTAATCGGGTTTTGTCTTTTTTGTTTCTTGCCACCACCTCCTGTATGTGTCTGTTCATGTGAAAATATTAGCTTATAGCATTTGCTGTGACTTCACCCAGAAAAAGGAATGGCTATGCCACTCATTCCTTAGGTAAATATTTTAGTGAGATGTAGTGTAGTACATGACTAATGGCACAGAATACGGCGTGATGAAGTCCAGCAGCGAAGTCATGATAGTGGTAGCTTCAGCACGAGAGCTTCCTATGCTTAGGGATGAATGTACATGGGATTATTATTAGCCTTTGTGTCTCAGTCTCAAATTTTCTCTGGGGAAATGAAAATAGGACAATTAAGATAAACCCTCTCCAGCCTGTCACACAGTTCCAGTATTACACTGTCCTGAATTGCTGAAAAATCTTGACATTTTCTTCTTCTTTGCTGTTCTTAAACTAATAATGATTTGTACAAGGAATGAACAGGAAAACATTCATATCTGAGTTTTGATATGAAGAGAGGGTTTTTATGCTTGGAGTTATTTGAAGTAATGTGTTTTGTTTAAATCCAGTTATTTACAAAATTGGAGTATAAAATCAGAGTAGAAGAGTAACACTCCCCTCCGCCTCCCCCGTTAAATTCATGTCCATTTAAGGCCTGAGCATTTCAATTTAAAAACAAGGTCATGATATAGCTGTCCAAACTTAGACATTCAGGACTAAGGCAGACAGTGTTTTCTGTAGTATGCAGGGAGGTTGTGCTGCATAAGCCATGTGACTCCCCTGCTGTAATTTCAGATGATTGTTATCTAGGCACAACAAAGCGAGTAGAAGTGTTAATTGTATTTCAACTTGTAGAACTTGTAGACTTTCAGAAGGACAAGAAATAAATGCAGGTGAGGACAGTTGCGTGGAAAGGTAAGTAGCACTATTTAATAGTGAGCAATGAAATGAAATTGTTTAGGGGTGTGTAGGCAGCAGCAGGCTCCCTAAAAGGCAGATATTCAAAATAAGGAGGGGTTTGAAGTGGTAAGTTGTAAGAATTCTCTAATTATGTTGTAATGTGGCAGTTCATCCTGTAGGGTTTTAACTGGGTGTCAGCCATAAGAGTACTTGCAGGTATGAAGAGCATCTTTTCTCAGAAGACTGTGGCTTAGTTTATTTTAACAACTGGTACCTGACCTTAGGTTGATACTGAGTTTTCAGAAGACTGAGGCGATTTCTATAAGGGAGAGGGAGATACTGCAAAGAATTTGTCAACTCTGATTTTGCACTGACAGCATCTGTCTTCGTATTGTAACAGTGCATAGGGTTCACCTTGACTACTCAGTTTCTAGATATCCAAAAGCAGTGGACGTCCACAATCCCTGTTTCTGAGTGGAATAATGGAGATTGTAGCTTGTCATCTTCAGTTGAGTTTAGCCATGTATTTGATCTCAGTGTCTTCTGAGTTTGCTTGTTGTAAATTTCTAACAACAAAACAGATATTTTAAGAGCCTGTAATCCAGTGTACTACAAACTTTCTACTTACACAAAATCCCCACAGTATTTTAGCCCTGTTGGCCATGCCTTATTTTAACTATGGGTTTCAATTTAAATTTTCAGGTGCTTTTTAAACGACTGGAAGTAGTTCGACCCTCCTAATGGCAGTCGGTGTCTTACCATGATTTTCTTTAGTGCTTTAGCGTATGGAGTTGTTCTCAGCAGATTGCTCATAAAAGGCTGAAACACAGAAAAGGTTAGACTGGCCAAGGACCTGTGGCCTCCTGTGAGCCCTTGTCATACTGCCGTTACCTGGCATGAGGCTTCTCTCTTAAATGCACGTGTTCTACTTTGGTTTTTTGTGCCACATTTACGCAACTTTTTCTCCTTCATTTCCCATGTTGACTTACCCTGGTTTTTGGGAGCTCTCTTCCTCAGTTCCCAAAGCTGAATTCCTCCAGGGCTTTAAAAAATAAATACTTGCAACCCAGCGCCTTCTGTACCACCTTAGGGCAGAAGCTCCCAACCACCAGCTGCAGAGTCACTCATAGAGATGGGCTAGGCTGCCCCCAGCTCGCTCGGCCTTTGCTCAGCCTCCTTGGCATTGTTATTCTCCCTTCCCTTGCCTGATCCTTGCTTTTCGGGAAGCTTTTTATTTTTCACAGTGGGTGCACTCTGAGAACAACTTCACTGCTGAATGTCAGCAGGGGGTTTCCTGTTTGTGAATGACTTCTTAATTCCCTTTTGCCTGGTGCTCAGACAGTGCCAGTCAGTGTGTCTTTTCCCCTTCCCTGATTTGCTTTGCTATCGCAACAAATTCATTCCAGAGGAGTTCTTCAATACACTTAATGCCTGTTCCTGATCATTGCCCTTCCGATTTCTTAGGTATCATTTATTCAATCCAATGCTATGCAGAAAACCCTTTGAAATTAAAACCCGTTTTTGTGTACACATGTTAGATCAGTAAGAACAAATTGAACAGGAGCAGCAGCTTCCCGACCGTGGCCTGTGAGGCGATGGTACGTAGCCGGGGGTTCAGTGCAGCCTGGGTAGGTTTGGGGACCAAGAGGCTCTCTAGCCCTGTGCACCATTACATCTCCCTGAATATCGCGGGGAGTCGCCGGCCTGTGGATCTCTTATGCTAATGGCACACATCTTCTGGA